CTGCTTCCTCCTGGTCCCAGTCCGCACTGCTTCCTCCTGGTCCCAGTCCGCACTGCTGCCTCCTGGTCCCTGTCCGCACTGCTTCCTCCTGGTCCCAGTCCGCACTGCTTCCTCCTGGTCCCAGTCCGCTCTGCTTTCTCCTGGTCCCAGTCCATACTGCTTTCTCCTGGTCCCAGTCAGCACTGCTGCCTCCGCACAGGGAGGTCTCAGCACCACCCAGGGCACATTCCCGCAGCTTTCATCATTCACCCTTGCTCCTCCCTGGTGTGAAATGTGTTAATCTGATTCCTACTGTAGCCACAGCTGACCAGGTAATTCAGAACAGCCTGCCTGCTGAAGACAGCTAAAGAAGCTGGATACGATTTTCAAAAATGGATAAAGTCTCCAAGAGCTAACAGAGCAGGACCAGATACAGCTGCTGCTGGGAGAGGCCTCATAGCTGTAGGAGTGGCCAGGCTTGGCCAGGCTTGGCCAGGCTTGGTCCATGTTGTTCGCTGTTCTGGAAGAAATAGCAAGAGAGGCTGAATTCTGCTGTTGGCAGCATCAGAGCCTGCTGAGGATGGGACTCTGGACCGTGTGTGGCTCTGGGTGGAGACATGGATGGCAAACCCTGTGGTCACGGTGAACTGGGTTCAGACACATCTCACATGCTGTTAACCTCCATGTTCAACCTTGAACTTGGACTCTCACTGACCCCACACTGCTATGCCCAGGTCTCTAGCAGAATCAGTTGGGACAGTGTTCTTTGGAGCAAGACAGCATCAGTGTAGGCCTCTGTTTTCTAGTGCAGTGCCCCTCACATGCAGTCCGAGTAACTAGGCAGTCAGGGAGGTAAGATACTATAAGCACAGCCCAGGAGAGACAGACACTAGGAGCCCAGGTGCAGACTGTTGGAACCTTTCTCCCACAGCCGCTGATAAAAGCTGAGTTTGAAATGTAATGGGGAACAGATAACCCAAAAAGTTGCATAGCAGATTTGGAGGGATAATTGAGAAGATGTAGAGCTGAAAATTACTAAAGATGAAGGTGAGAATTTACTTGACAGATTTAACAGCCAATTAGGCTTCAGTGGGCAGGAAGAGGCATCATTATGGGGAAAGGGTGAGGGCAGAGGAACAGGTGAGAGATGAGGAGGCACCCATTCCACCTGAGACCTCAGGGAATGGGCGAGGAAAGGGGTCAGAAGCATAACATGGCAAGAAGATGGCTGAAGAAGTCTCAAAACTGATAGAAAACACTGCCTTAAAAAGAACAGCAGGGCCAGCCAGTGGTGTACTGGCCAAGGCAGCTGGATCATATGGCTCTCCGTGTGGTTCAAGTCCTGGACCTGGTGGCTTGAAAAACACACCAGGCAAGCGCACGTGAATAACCACTCAAAATCCCAGGAGGAGAATGGAGGAGAGGGGATGATGGTGTGGCCATACCCCTTGGGGAACGATTTCTCAATCCCCTATCCCCACATGTGTCTGTAGAGAGTGCATGCCCTATAGCAAAACAAAACACTGTAAAGGACAGCATGTCTGCTGGGAGTGTTCCCTGGGACAGCGTCTTTGAAAACACTTGGATGGTTTCTTTAATATGACCTAGCAGCCACTCTCCTAGACATTTCTCCTAGAAAGATGAAGCTTACAGCTACACAAAACATCTGCACATGAAGCTTCATAGCAACTTCATTCATAATCGCCAAACCGGGAAGATCCCAGATGTCCTTCAGGGAGGGAAGGACTGCACAAATGTCGTCTGACCACACCACAGAATCCCGCTCAGAGCATGTTGGATGGGTCTCGGCGGCATTATTCTAAGTGGAGAAACCTAATTTCAGTGGGTCACATGCTGTACGATTTCTTTTCTTCTCAAGTGAGATTATAGTGATGAAAGAGGAGTTCGTTAGGGTTAGGGGTTGGGGGAGTATGTGACTGAAGAGCTGACACAAGGGTGTGTCCATGTAGTTCTGTGTCCTGCTGTAGTGCTGGCTGCTTGAATCATCACATGATAAAGTTACCTAGACTTGTGTATGTAACTTCATCACACAGACACACACATGCGCAAGGCAAGAATGGAGATATGAGCAGACTGAGAAAGGTACATATCTGAGTTCATCTCATTGTGCCAGCACCTGTCACATAAGGTCATTGTTGAGACCTGGGCAAAGGTACACAGGAACTCTGTATGATCTTGGTGCCACCTTGTGAATCTTCATTTATTTATTAATTTTAAGGATTTTGGCCAGGGTGTTTGTGCTTGCCAGAGAGAGACGAAGAGACAGTGAGAAGCAAAGTACAGAATGATTGGCCATGCTGTAATCCCTTCTCCTCCATCCTCCTCCTAGGATGTTGGGTACGCACACACACGCATGGCATGATTTTTAAGTCATCAGGTCTGGAACTTGAACCATGGTTGGCCATGTGGGAGTTCAGCACATTAACTGCTATGCCACCTGCTGGTCCCCATCTTGTGAATCTTAAATTGTTTCAACCAAGATATTTTTTTAAAAAGTATGTAGAATGAAAGACAGTGAAACTGCAGAATCATAAGCTAAAGTTTTGTCCATAAATTTAAAAGCTAAGACAAAGCAGATGTTTTCTTCTAAAATTGTAATATATCCAAATTGCCTCATCAAGTTAATATAAAATGCAAATAAATAAGTGGACAGAGACCCTGGTGGGAGATGGAGGCAGGGATAGAACCCTCATCATGAAGGCAGATTCTCTGCTCCCAGGGGTCTAGACAGACAAGCAGCAGTTCCTCTCAGAAGCAGCAGCCAGGAGACCGGACGTGGGACCACACCTGTCAGAAAGGACAAGGTTCTTTGAATATGCAGAGGGTTAAGAAGCACTAATTAGTATACTCAGATTTGCCACCTAATTGTAAAATGAGAATGGGATGCAATGAGAAAGGAATCATCAAAGAATTAGAAAGTGATTGGAAATTTTAAATATGAATGAAAATATTTTAATTGCAATGGGAAGCTTGAAGACCCAGTGAAGAAACTCTCAGGAGGAGACAGGAATGACGAGAAAAAAAATGAGCTCCATGAAATCTGTCTGAGAATACAGGAGTACTAAGCTGCACTTCTCTACGCCCATGTGGGGTTTTCTCCGTGCACCAGTCAGGTAACCCTGCAGCAGACACCTGCCAGGCATCCTCTGATTGACTTCACTTCGGACATTGTCTACCTGGAAATAGCGCCAGATGCCACGGATGAGGGCTCAGTCTCACCAGAACCCTGCCCTTCAGTGCAGGTCACAAACTGATTTTACTTGGGTTTCTGAACCCATAAATTGGGGTTTGCATGACCCCTTCCTTGAGTTTGACTCATTTGCTGGAGTGGCTTCAGAACTTGAGAAAACACTTAGGTTTCCCCGTTTATTGTAACGGATATTACAAAGGATACTGACGAAGAGCCGCATAGAACAGGGCATATGGGAAGGGCACAGACCTCCCGTGCCCTCTTGCTTGGAAGCTCCACCAACACTGTTCTTTTGGGTTTTTATGGTTGCTTTATTAGGCCAGCATGATTGATAAGCCCTCGACCACTGGTGATCACCTCAAGCTTCAGCACCCTCTTCTCAGAGGTTGGGGGTTGAGGATGAAAGTTCCAACCTTCTAATCCTGCCTTGATTTTTTTTGTGTGTGGCCAGCCCCCATCCTGAAGCTGTCTTGGAGCTGCTAGCCATGAGTCAGTGACCAGGAAACAAAAAGACATTCCTTTCTTTGGAGAGTGCAGGGATGTTTAGGAGCTGTATGCCATGTATTTCACAGTATCATAGTCTGCTTGCCACTGCTGGCCTCACGCTCAGGAGTCTCGCATTTCTGAGTAAACTTGTAGTCCTAGGTCAGGACCTTGTCTCCCAAGCTTCTTGTTGCTAAGTGAGGCCAGGTTATGAAGTCCCAACAAAGGGGAGGTGAGAGGAAGTTTCTTCTGCAGACTTTCTTCCCTCTTGCTGTTGTCTGGCAACCAGATGTGATGGCTGGAGTCTGGGTAGCCACCTTGAGCATGAGAGGGAAGCCATATGTTGGGAATGGTGAACGAGAAGGTGAGCCTGGGACCCTGACAGCCAAGGAGATGCCATAGGGCCCACAGGCCACCCGTCTCTAGGCTTTGGCATGGAGAGAAATAAATGCCTGTCATACGCATTGCTGTTCCTTGGGACGTTCTGCCTTTTAGAGCAGTAACTGTCCATAGCTAGTTGTCCATTGGAGACAGTCTGTAGTTACAGGTGAGACCACAGTTTTACCAACATGATAGTATGGTGAAGGAAAACCTCCAGAGCGAAATGGAGACTCTTACCACAAACCAAGGAAGAATGTCAGAGAGCTCCACTAATCAAGTTCAGGATTTTACCAACCCGGTGGTGGAGAATATCACCCCTCAAGAAACACGAATCAGAACGGCTCACACTGGCTGCTTTAAAACATCCGTGGGAGCAAGATGTTCCGCCACAGATTGCACATATGATCAGATTACCAAGCAACCAAGGAAAAGAAGACCCAGGAGCTAAGAAATAGTTCATCCGTCGAGGGGGTCAGGTGCAGGGTGGGAGATCCGGGAGCAGCAGCAGGAAGTCCCCGCAGGACTTTTGGACAATGCAGCCACTGCATGCGAAGCCCAGGACCCAGTGTGCTTTCACCCTGCAGCTGGGCACAGCCTGCACAGCATGTGGGGGACACAGTGGTTGGGTCTCTGAGTAGTGTTCAAATTTCTGTTCTGGACAAAGGTGCTTCTGTGGAAGTGAGAGCATGAGGGAGTAATGGAGGGTGAGTTTGAACAAAGACTTAAAAAATTTTAGAGGAAAATTCGAAGGAGGATGTATTCACTACTTTGAGTCACAGTAAAACAGAAGACGTAATAAGTTACTCAGAAAATACAGCCTTATAAAGGAAAAGGTGAGTTTGGTTAGATGATGTGAAACAATTGGCAAACAACAAAAACTGGTGAGAGACGCAGGTGAGGTATTTGAGATTTGTGCACTAGCCTTAGGGTTAATATCTAAAATATACAAGGAAAAAGAAAAATCCCAGCAGAAAATGGACGAGGGACTGGTATTTGTGTCAAAACAGAGCCGTCACTGTTAAGCATGTCCACGTCCACACCCCCACCACCACCCACCCAGTGCTCATGGCTAAAGCTCACTGCCAGGTAGTAACTGGCACCTGGAAAACTGTGAGCCTCGTATCAGCCATGCGCACGGAATGTGGACTTGTCCTTGTAGAGCAGAAACAGCCACCCCCGGTTTTGGTGGTGCCTTGGCAAGTCAAATCTTGAAAATTCGAAGCATGCAGTCTTTAGCCCAGCATTCCACTAGGGCCTGCGTATGGTTGTGTGCCAGAGAAGCATCTGGAACAATGGTGATGTGCCGTGAGCAGCAGTTTCACAGCATAAGCCACACCTGTGCATGTGGACTGGTGGGAGGGTCAGTACAGTGCAATAACATCCACAGAAGCAACAGAGGCAAGTCCTGGGATTCTGTGTGCTTCCCACACGGCAGGCAGTGGGTGTGGTGGACCGGGGCCAGACCACTAGCACACATCTTTTTTCACCCACCAGACCCTGACTTCTATTTTGGGGGTTGCTCAGTGACTTCCACTCAGAGGCCTGCTGGTGCTGGGAGTGCCCAGGGCTCTGTTTCCAGCCAAGCAGCAGCTGATGCGAGGCCCTCAGATACAGCAAGCCTGCTCTGAGCATTCTGTAAGGCTGGGACCCGCGTTGCATCTTTCTCAAGTTGAGGACACTGAGCAGAGTGGGTTAAGTCACTGTCCTGCTCACACATCTATTAAAGGATAACGGGTGAGAGGGTGTTTGAGGGTAGCTTTTGGAAGGCTACTGGTTCCTGACCTAAAGATACTGATCTGGTTGCACTCCACGGTAGCTGCCGCCCTGGTGGTTGATGTAGTAGCAGGGAGCAGAGCAGCCACTTTGCAACCACAAAAGGGAACATAGGGAACTGCAAGGAGGGCGGATCTGGAGGCTCACAGCAGCCATGGTAGCCTGGCCTGCGGATCTCCAGACGATGCAGCTGCCACGTGGTGAAGCCCACGTCCCACTGGGCTCTCGTGCATGAGGGAGGGTGTAATGGGGTGTCTAGTGTTCATATTCCTGTACCGAGAACATCTTTACTTAGTACTGTTACTAAAAATATGTTCAGCAGAAAAAGGACAAGGACATGAAAAATACATACTAACCAATATACACAGACAAGATTCAAATGCAAAGTAAAGCTACAGTAGTGGCTGCCCGCCTGTGTTTAAACGTTTGGAAGGCCTCACGATGAATATGGGACCTCAGTTGGTTCCTGGTAGGTGCAGCAGCGCTCAGATCCTTAAAGAGAGCTCTCCAGTTTTCAACTCTAAGAACATAACCAAAGAAAATAAATACACAGCTTTTTTTCAATTGCAGAAGAACCAATATTGGAAGCTACCTGAAACCTAGCAGTAGATGTTCAGATAAATCTAATAAGTCACGAGGCAATTAAAAACAGTGTTTTTCAAGACTGTTTACTGCCCCCCCCAAAAAAGCTGTTACCTGCTCGTGTGTATACGGCATGCTGACACACACACACACATGCACACATGCACGCACACATGCCTCTGAGGTATGGATCTCTGTCCAGCCTGTCCACAGCTAAGCCTGCCCCCCCCCCAAAAAAAAAGCTGTTACCTGCTCATGTGTATACGGCATGCTGACACACACACACACACATGCACACATGCACGCACACATGCCTCTGAGGTATGGATCTCTGTCCAGCCTGTCCACAGCTAAGCCTCTACATGCGTATCTTAGTGAGGGGCCTACATATGTTCAGTTGTCCAGGCTCATGTCTGGTGCCACACCTGTCCTGAAGCTCCCTGCGCTCCATCTGTCTCTCCCTACGTTTAGCATGCATGGTCCTGCCTGCCCTCGTGGGCACTGGCAAAGCATCAGCAAATGACTGGGCCCACCACCCCTGCCTTGCTGCTGCTCTGCTGAGGGGGCTGTGATCTCTGCTCCCTGACACTGTGATCAGTCTCCTCACCTCATCTGCAGTTCCCACAGTACAAGGTGACCAGAGAAGCCTTCCTGGTCCACCACTCACCCTCGTAACCTCTCCCCTGAACCCCAGCGTCCTGGTCTGCGTCAGCTGCCCACCGCCTGGCCTCTGCCTCTGCTCTCTGCACTCCCTCTTGAGAGTCTTAGTGCCGCTCCACTGTTGCACACTTGTCCCCACTCAGTCCACCCAAGGTTCAGATGAGCAGTGCTCCCAAGGTCTAGGCGCCCAGGAGACCTCCTGCCCAGGAGGCCTAGGGCAGCTGTCAAATATGGGCAGTGGCCCAGCCCCATCCATGCCCTGATGCTGGGATGGGTTCTCAGATACTTGCAGTTCACACTCTGCTCTGATGTCTCTGTCATGGCCCTGGTCTGTGTGGTCCCCAATGGCCATGTTCTCCAGGCCTCCTCCAGCTTTGAAGGGAGTCTATTGTGTTCTGGGTACCATGTGCCTGAGTTCAGCTACTATGGAAGAAGTGGGTGAGGGTGGTTAGCAGTCGGGCCGTGGGCTGCCCACCTGCTCTAGCCACGTGTAGCTCACTCACTGCTCAGCGTCGTTGGCTTACATGTACCCTGTGCACAGCTGGGGTCAGGATTGGCAGGAAGGGCTCCTGGTGACCACTGTACTCCCCTGTCAGGACATAGTAGGGCCTGTGGTCAGGCTGGGCAGCTCATGGCTAAAGGGTCACGTCATCTTCCACATGGGAGGCTTGGCCCTGGGACTAGTCTTATCCAGCTTGCATGCAAACACGCCCTGTGCCATCCTGCATCCTTGAAAAGGCCCACCTGAGCTGACTTTGCAGAGTGGCCTGCTGAGTCCCTTTATGTGCAGGCATGGATATAGCCCAAGGCCCTGGCAGCTGCTGCACCGGCATGAGTGGGAGCGGTGTCCTGCCTGCTGAGCTTCTGGGCTTAGGATGCTAGCTACTCCTCCCCCACTCCCAATTTACTCCATGTGCAGGGCCCATGGCAGTGGCGTCCATGTTCGGGGCTGCACACCTTCCCTTTGGTCCTTCAGTGGCTGTTGACTGTGTCCTTGCGGTCTGCCAACCCAGTAGGGGAGTCAGCTCTGGCCACAGTGGATCCAGCTTTGGCCAAGGGGGTGGACGTCTCTGACAAGTGTCTGGAAGCACAGCCAGCTTGTGGACCCAGGGCCTCTGAGTCCTGCGGCCCTCCCTTCTGTGGGAGAACAGCAGATGCACTCCAGGTCAGCCTTGGATTCAAATTATTATGGGTTTAACATGTTCTCTTTGTGATTAGATGAGTATGGGGGTTCTACACAAACTGAAAATAAGGAACACAATTGCGTATTGCAAATGCAGCACACGCAAACCCGTCTGCGCCCCATGACCTCCCTGCGTCACCAGGCCCTGGTGGGCCGTGCCAGCAGCTTTCCCAGTGGGCTCTAGAACAGCACGGCTGGGTCACAGGTTGCGCTTGCTCTGCTTTTCTCCATGTGTTTGTTCGGATGGCTTTCCACTCAATGGCAGGGTCTGCAGGTTTTTGCTCCTTTTAGCTTCTGCTGTCTGTCCACAGGGAGTGGCCATGGGGATGTGTCCTCTGGTTTCCTCCTTATACAGCATTACTCTAGGGATGCAGTTCAGTACCAGCAGTTCTGGGGTTTATCCTGGGACCTTGGAGCTCTGTACGTGCAGGGAGAAGGTGGGCCATGCTCTCTTGGAGCTTCTGTGTGCAGCCTCTGTCATCATGTTGTTGAGAGGTGGAGACTCCTGTGTTCTCGAAGATGATGCCAAGTCGAGAGAAATACAGCAGGGCACCCACTCCAGCTGCCGAAGCAAGAGGGAGCTCTCATCCAGGAGCAGAGAGCCTGCGGCCTATGGCTGACCAGCAAATCCTGCTGGTAGTAACTGGCGCCTGTAGAGAAGGCCGCTTAGGAAGTGATCGGAACCTTGGCTCTTCCCAACCTTGGGGAGAAGCTCGCACATGACTTCGCCAGAAGGTCCTGCCTGCTGCTTGGGGAGTTAGAGGCCAAGGCAGCAGGCTAACTTCTGCAGTGTAGGCACGGTGCCTCTTCCTACTCGGGCAGCACCTGAGCAGGCCACAGGCTGGCAGCGACCACACTCAGCATTGTGTGTTCTCTCCCTTGCTCCAGGTACTGAATGAAGCTGTGGGCGCACTGATGTACCATACCATCACGCTGACCAGAGAAGACCTGGAGAAATTCAAAGCCCTTCGAATAATTGTCCGAATCGGCAGTGGCTTTGACAACATCGACATCAAGTCAGCTGGGGACTTAGGTAGGGTGGTTTTGAGTTCTCCTTTACTTTGCAACATTCACATTGTATTTATTTGGGCATGACCTTTGTTCACATCTTGCTTTACCTACAATGATGAGGTCCTGTTACAGGCCACCTGATCTAATTAAGGTAATTTGCAGTTCCCATTTTGGGCAGGGGGTGAGCTGCAGCAGCTTTCCCCAGAAAGCCCAGCCTCAAGCCATGTCCTCTGTCTCTTAGGCAGTACAGAATCCAGCTGCTGCTTCGTGCACAGGTCTGAGTGCACATCACAGCCAGTGCCCTTTGCTTGGATGTCAGGGAGCCCAGGGTGCAGGGCAGGAACATCAGGGCTCGCAGGTCTGTCTCAGAGACACAGCAGAAGGCAGTGAATGTTGCAGCTTAGTGCAGGAACATACACGCACACGTGTGCATGCACACACAGCACATACAGTTCACATGCACACATGCATATGCCTGTACACGTGTACATACACACACTCCAAAACAAACTTGGTGAAGCAGGACTTAATCATACTGCATTAAGTAGTCTGCTGTTTCCTGCGACTTCCTAGCCTATCCTGATCATCTCTCTTCCCCTTTCCTTGTATCAGACATAAAGGAAGTCCTGCCCAGTTGTACCCACAGTCAGCAAACCGCGACTTCTTTAGGAAGTCTAGTGCAGGTGTTGGCAGGGTTGGTTTCTACCTAGCCACTCACACTCACTCTGCCGCGAGGCCCTGTTGGGAAGAGTAAGGACAGCCTCTCTTCTCACCCCTAGACACACCCACACACTGAGCAGTCACCTGTGTGCAGCGTGCCCTAGCAATGGAGTTGGGGTCCAGGCCCCCATACTGTGAGCCCCCAAGTCAGTGTGACCTGCACTTGTTCTGTAGCCTCGCAGAGTGGTCGTGGTGAACATGTCTGCTGGTGTTCTCCTTGTGAAGTGTTACTCCAGGGACACATTCCTACCAGTGGCTCTCGATGTGCATTCCAGGAGGTTGGGGCCCAATATGTACAGTGACCACCTATGCGTCGTGTGTCCCCACAGGCATTGCGGTCTGCAATGTACCTGCTGCATCCGTGGAGGAGACTGCAGACTCGACCATGTGCCACATCCTGAACCTGTACCGGCGGACCACCTGGCTGCACCAGGCACTGCGGGAGGGCACTCGAGTCCAGAGTGTCGAGCAGATCCGGGAAGTGGCTTTCGGAGCCGCCAGGAGCCGCGGGGGGGCCTTGGGGATGATCT